GCTGCTCATTTGTTTCTCTTATTAATCGCACCTTTATAGCTGTTTCAAGGCAGTACTGTTGTACAGTTGGAAAGCCACTTGCTTGCTTCTGTGCTCTAGCTGAATACTTTTTGAAGGGGACTCTGACATAGCGGGTGTGCTAATGTGAATGTTCAGGAGAAGCGCAGTTCGTTCTCATCATTCTACGACGACGAGGCGGGTTTGCGTGCTGAAACGGAGCGTGAGCTACCGGAACGTCGTCCACCCTGCGAGGAGGACTTCGAAACTATCCGTGTAAGTCTTTCGCATACATAAAAAATTACGTCCATGCTTTTGAATGCATAGAAGGCTCACTGAGGAGCGGTAAAATGGAAGCGAGATAATGCTGTATTACGCAGTTTAAATGCGAGGAATGAGTTTTTTAGTCTTTTGGGTAGTAAATTACGGTTCTACATGGTCTATGAACGGCTTGGGGCAATCAAACATTCTAAAAATGAATTCAGATGCTTTAAGTTATTTTTATACGTTTTTTTAGCATCCGTGCAATACAAAAACGCATACGAGAGGTTTAGCTTTTAATTTCGCTTCATAGATCTTATCTGTACAGGTACTGAATGCCCTTCATTTGTATTTAATGCGCGATTTTTGTGTGCCACTGATAGTTCTTCGATGATCCTGACCTTTCTGAGAGTACAAAAAATCAGTAATCCATCCGTATGGGTCAAAATTGTTTTTCTGAGAAGATACGTGTTAAAAATTGTGGTTAATTGACGTAGAATTTAACAAAGGCTGCAAATATTTTTCTCACTGAAATCCACAATTTCGCATTGTGATTGCATCTACCTGAGATTATCAGATCAGCTGGTTATGGCCATAATTTGTGCTAAGATGAATAAAGAATGAAGCTGAATATCATCATATTTAAGCAGAATGGTGCTGTTTTGGCCAAAAGGTGTTTTTTTATGCATTTTTCGCAGCTATGCAATGCAGAAAACGCATAGTGACGAGGGGTTGTCTGTGTGTGTGTGTATGTGTCTGTGTCTGTCACAGTTTTTCATCTCAAGACCTACAAAAGCTACAGGGCTGAAACTTTGGGAACTTAACTTACATGGACGTACGAGCTCCAGTCTCCAAAATTGGCGTTCTTACCCGCGTGGACCCACGTACGAGCCTCTAGAAGTTTTTTGCGGGTAAGTCGCTAACTAGAGAATCAGAAAAGCTAGGAAACTGAAATTTTAAGAGGATGTTCCTTGTCTACGTAAGTCTCAATGAGCTAAAACTCGGCCAAGAGGGAGTAAGATTGCTGCAAAAGGGATTGTATAAGGGCCAGAGAATATGTATGGAAAGGAGGAAATAATGGTATTTTTGATATTCTCAGCTTATCAGCAACGGGGCATACGGTGCCGTTTATTTGGTGCGACACAAA